AGGCACACGTGATGACTCCCTAAATAAGCCACCCGTCACCTTTAAAGTGTCCTCAGAAAATTAACCCACGGTAAAAGCAGTCAGATGTGAACTATAAACATTCGTGTATTTTGGCAGATAACTACTCTCATATTCCCCTCTGAGACATGAGAAAGAGAGGAAAGGGAATAACTCAATAGTAGAGGAATGCATTAATCAAATCCATAATCAACTCTGAGGATGGAGCAAAGATTCTAATCAAACACAATATGACAAAACAGCAACAGGTTGTGAGCTTGGAGCTGGGAACTTTTCTGGGACCTCGTTGTGCAATCCTTTTAAACATCTCAAACATCTTCAGAGGATTTCAATCACTTCTAACTGTGTTTTGTAAAGCTATCATTTGCAAGTTGAACACGAATCTCCTAAAGACAGTAGATATCAAAGTATGATATTTATATCTATTTCCCCTCCCCACAACTGCTTCTTAAAAACAGACTAAACTAAAACTCGTTCACAAGCATTTCTTATCTGAAGGTCGGCAGGCTAGGGTTTCTGCACTAACACAGAGCGTGTCTCTAAAACTATTCTTTGCACATGGTCATCATTTATGCATCGTGCTAACAGGGCAGATGCTATAAATGATCATTCTTGGGGAGAAGCCCAGGTATCCCGGCAGCAGGGAGGGAATCTGGGAAGGGATGTGCTGTTGCAGATCACCACACTCCAGGCAGCAGGGGGTAGAACCCTGGCTGTGGGTTTGAGAAGAATCAAAGTACAAAGTACAAGGCTTCAAGGGGAGTTGGCAGTCGGGCCACCTAACGAGGATTAGCTGGCGATGGCAGGTCTTTTCACACTTGGTGAAGGCAGAGAGCAGGCTTGCAGGAGGAGGTGCTGTTCCTGGCCGAAGAGTCATCATACAATGAAAGAAGCTGTAACTACCTTTGCACTGTCACTACCACATTGCATATTCTGAACCCCAACCTAGTAGACATCATCACTGTCATTCCCCAAGGTTTTCTTATGAGCTGGGTCCTTTTGGGACCCCATCTTTCCTACTTCTCATAACTCTGCATGTTCAGAATTATGATCCATCATACAGGAAGCCAGCGTGTGAATCCAACTCTTCAGCTCTGAGAAGTCTTAATTCTTTTCTTTATATCATTGCTGTCGGACAGGAAGAGATAGTTGATACAAAGCAGGCCTGTTGCATGAAGACGCACCTTGCCTGAGGCCACTCTAACCCCTGCTCTGCACTGATGCGTGGTCCTACCCCTACATTGCTCATCTCTCCTCTTCTCCTTCTCATCCAGGCACTCTTGCCCACCTCTGAAGCCCATCACACCTCTCTCCTCCTCCAGGAGGCCTTCTGGATTTCTCCAGTTATTGGGGTCCTTTCCTTCCTTTGAGTTCCAAATACCTCCCAGCCCTCTCTCTAAGGTCCATCAGTTTTGCGCTCAGCTATACTATACAACCCCCTAAGCCCAGGCCTTGACTTATTTACCCTATACACCTGCCTATACACCATACCACATGATGGAGGGAGGCATGTCAGTATGCAGTGGGAAGACCACAAACCTTACAGCTAGTCCAATCTAAGCTGGAGTCCCCACTCTGCCCCAACTGCAGGAGATGGCCTGGAACAGATTCCTCCCCCTGCCTTTCCCTGACCTACTGTTCCTGCCCAATGGTGAGAGCAGTGAATTTATTCTTCCAGGCCTGCAGGTAATCTGGGAGTTTCTGTGGAAAAGGGCTTGTGACCCAAAGCCAGAATGCCCAAAATTCTATTTCTACCTCTACTATTCCTTCCTTCCTTCCTTCCTTCCTTCCTTCCTTCCTTCCTTCCTTCCTTCCTCCCTCCCTCCCTTCCATCACTGTGAGATACACAGTTACAAAGTTGTTCATAAACGGGTTTCAGTCATTCACCAGTATACATTTCCCATCACAATGACCCCCTCTTTTCTAACCCCCCCCCCCAATTTGGCACCATGACTAACCAGATCTTTGCCTTGGTTTCTTCACATGATTAAATAAGGATGAAAACCCTATCTCATTGAACTTTTCTAAGTCTCAAATGAGGGGGTCTTCATTTGTCTGTGGTGATGGAGGGGGTAGAAGTCCAACCTGGGGTGTCACAACTCTGAGCCATGTGCTTGACTAGTGAGCAGCATCCCCACCCCCAAGGGAGGTATTTCATGTAGACTTTAGAAGTCTCTGAAACACAGGAAATGCTATGTAAGGATTTGCCATGATTATATTATTATCCTTACAGACAATGGGTCTGGCACGCCTGCTTTGAAAATGACTATGAGGACGAAATGAGATCATAAGGATCCTGGCTTATCAACAAAGCTGTGCCTTCCCGTCATGATCCTAGTGTACCTGGTGTGTAATAGATGCTCCGAAAACCTTTGTGAACCAAATGGTAACTTCCCAAGGGCTTGAATAAGCTCTGGCTTTTCTCACTTCGAGGTGATTAGATCTAGATTCAGTCTCTTGAGTTAGTCTAATAAAAAGCCAATTTTATTAAGTGTTCCTTATTTGCCAGACATCAGAATAAACACGTTGCAGATGTTATTTTCTTAAATCTCACACTTGATCTGGTGATTGGTGCCTATTTTTTAGAAATGGAACAATGAGGATGATGGCGAGGCAAACTGTCTAGACACTCAGCTCAAACACGGCAGAGGGGGGAACACCATGGCTATCCTTCTGGTTTTGAAATCTGTATTGTTGAGCACTGTACAGCCCAACCTTCCTGCCACCGCCCCCCTTCCCCTCCTGAATAAGAAGGGAGGCAGAGGCCTCTAGGTAACATTTGCTATGAATGCTTTCCTCCATGAGCATCCTTTAGGGCTAAGTACCAGGCTTGGCTTGAAGGACTAGCAGATGGTCAGTCATTCTCAGTTCTCAAGGCTTCCCTTGGTGGATGGACACCAAGTTGGGCAGAGTGAGAGTAAACCCTGTCCAGAAAAGGCAAAGCCCCAGGAAGCCAGGACCCAATGAGGTCAGGGCAGGCTGGTGAAAGCCGGGGGAACCCTTTGATCTGAGGCCAGTCTCCTTGGCAGTTGCTCTCACCCATCCTCCTGCTCAGCACACAGAGGGAAGGACAGGTGGAGGGGGACCTTTGGGGGACACTGGTAGGCCAAGTGCGAGGGATGGAGTCATGCTCTTCCAGATCAGGACAATGCCAGCCCCTCCAAGGGCAGGTGGAGAATATTCTTCCAGGAAAGCAGGCGATAGATCACCTTTCCCAGGCTGCCCACTGCGAGCCCCTGGCAGCTGAGGACAGTCAGAAAGTAAAGGCACTAGTTGCCTGGGCATGACCATCCCTGTGTCTACTTTCCCTTTCATTCTTCTGCTTCCTCCTCAGCAGCCTGAAGGGTATGTGTCACCTCCAGAAATGGGCTCTGGCTTTCCTGCATGCCTCACCTCCTCCCCAGGACCCTCCTTCCTTCCAAGGCTGCAGGGGAAACCCCAGCAGGAGTGTAACCCATCATCCGTCCCCATAGGTGGAGCTCACTGGACAAATCCTGCGACTAGCAGAAGTAAAGAAAGAGAATGGAACACAAAACCCCCACCGAGACAGGCTCCGGGAGCAGTGGGGGGAAATCTTTGCCTCCCACACACCATCACTCAAACCTGTCAGCTTCCAAAAATGTTCCGCAAGAGCAGCAGTAAGGGGCATGCTTATCAGCTTGGTGTGGGAGCTTAATCTGCTTGGAGGGCCTTCTCCAGCCCTGAGTTCCAAAAGTCTGCTTACAATTAGCTTCCAGCTCCAGTTCCTCCATCAGAAAGGCTAGGAATGTGTTGAGTTCTAGCCTCTGATCAGAGAAAGCCCCAGCAGAAGGTGGAGACAGTGTCGGCAGAGAAGTAAGTGCCAAAAAGGTCAGCTGGTCTGTTGTCACTTCCCCGACACCAGCCCCCAAACCACCTCCCCCTTTCTGAATTCCCCGCCTCTCCTGATTCGGAGAGTCACATCCGACAGGTCGGCCTGTCCCCAAAAGTCCCTGCTGACTCACAGCCAAGAAAACACAGCATGCCGGGTTCCCTCCTACCAGAAGGGGGTGTGGGAAGGGGGAGGCAGTGGGGAAGGGCAGGAGGCCAAGAGAATCCGATTGGCCCCTGCTGATTTCCTTAAAAGAGATTGCCGCGCTAGAGCCTGTCACCCAGCCCAATTGGGTGATGCAGACTGTCAGGAAAGGTAGTAGCATCATCACTGCTCTACAATCCAAACCCCCAGCCCCCCTCACCCGGGTTACCGCACCAGGAAGGAGGGGCTTAGCCTCAGGCCGCCATTCCGAGGCTGTCACCCCCACCCTCAAGCCACAGCCAACCTAGCTCGGAGTCCCCAGCAGCCCACCTCCACCTCCGCGGGTGCACCAGGCATTTTCACTGCCTGCCGGGCACCGCTGAATCCCGATCCTGACAGCCCAAGGGATGGAGCAGGCGCGAGCTATCTTGAAGCCTGGGAGTCGGGGATGGGGGTGGGAAGTATATTCCCTGCCCCTCCCCTGCCCCCCACCACCTCCCTCCACATCTTCTTTCTGGATCTGGCTAGACAGTGTTGAAACCAACGAGGCCTCAAACCATTCCTTGGCAGGGGCAGAATCACTCCGGAGCCAACAGGCAGACAGACAGACAGACAGACAGACACTCCAGCAGCCACTGCAGCAGATAACTGTCTTCTGGGGACCAAGCCCTCAGCATGCACAGCCTGACATCGCCAGTGCTGGGCGTAATTTTTTATTTCTAAGGACACCTGGCCGTCCCTTCCCACAGCTGGAAACCGCGGATTGGCCCGCAGCCGGGTCTCAGCAGAGCTCCTTAGTGCGAACCTCCCGCACCCGGGCCACACCCACTGGTCAGCCCACTCTCTCCGCACAACCCGCAGTCACACGGAGGGAGGTCCTCCTCTCTTGGCAACCCTGGATCCCTCTCCGCCCTCCCATCGTGCCACCCTCCCTCGCTCTACCCAAAGTATTCGCCCACCTGGGCGCCCACAGCACCCCAGCACTCACCTGGGTATCGAACCCGTTCTCCACCGAGCCACTCTTGCGCAGTGCGAGCCCCTCCCCCGCCGGCTCCTGCAGCCCCTGCGATTTCAGCGGGATCTGGCTGGGGTAGGCGGTCTTGCTCACCTCCACCTTGCTTCCCAACTTGAGGTAGCAGGGCTGGGGGCCGGCCCGGGCCGGGGGCACGTGCAGGATGGGCGCGGCGCTGTGCACGGGTTTGGGCAGTCCCGACTTCATTTTGGAGGCGACCAGGATGGCCGGCATCTTCTCCCGGGGCTTCGGCTTTCCCAGCACGTCCCTGGCAGCGGCGGCGGAGGCGACCGCTAAAGGCAGCTCGGGCAAGCAGAGCAGGCGCCGGGGACTCGGCCCGCGAGGCGCCCACCACCAGCAGCAGCGAAGGAGGGGGGGAAAAACCCGGTTCGGAGGGTGGGGAGAGCTCGAGGCAATCCTGCGATCGCGCCTTAGGGATGCGGGGATGAGAGACGAAGCTGCTGGTCGGTGGCGCGCTCAGCTGGTCCCACCTGGACGGATGCTGCGGTTGGGTCCTCTCGCGCTTCCTGGGAGGCCTATTCAAGGGCTAGGCGAGCTCAGGGACTGTTGCCTGGTACGATGCTCCTCCTGGGAAATCGAGGCTTGAACGCCCATATTAACTTGTCATTGCATCTCCGAAGTGAGGAGGAGGTCCCCCTCGGCTTAGGAAGAGAAGCGGCGCTGATGGTACGACCTCCCGCTCCGTGAGGGAGGCAGCGGGTGTGAGCGGGCGAGTGCACGGGCAGGAACGGACCGAGCTGCTCGAGCTGCTCGAGGAGGGAAAGAAGGAGCGAGCCGCCGTGGGAGGAAGCCGAGGAAGGACGCACTGAGCCCAAAGCCGTCCGCCCTGATCGCCAAGAGCACCGCAATGGCACCGCGACGCCAAAGGCGCGGCGAGAGAGCCCCCTCCCCCGAAAGGTCTATCTCGGCGTGACAGCCAGTCACCACTGCCCAGAAGCCCCCCGGAAAGAGAGCACCTTCGCCACTGCGGGTCTGCACATGCTCCGTGCGCGCTACAGCGCAGGAAGGCTGTGGCCGTGAGGGCGCGGGCCACCCCGGACGCGCCGCTGGCGGGCTCCGCGCTTCCCCGGGAAAAAAGCTGCGCAGGCTGCGGAGGCTCGGCGCTGGGTACCGACAGGCTGCGGGCCGGCTCGGCTGCGGCGCGCTCTGACAGCCCGGGCCGCCCCCGCGCGCCCATTGGCTCGCCGCGCGCCAATCAGAGGCCGCCCAGCTCACTGCAAAGGGGGCGTGGCCTCAACTCCCGGGCCGCGGTCGAAACTCTGGGGCTGCGCTTGGCCGCAAGTACAAAGCGGGGATGCTGGGCGGCTCTGCGGCACGGCTCCCGCCGCGCGCTTCCCTCCGCGGGTGCACACCCCACCCCCCCCATGCCCCCGGAACCCGCCTTTTGAAAAATGCCCTTTCGAATGCAAACGCCCGCCTGGGGGGGGGGGGGCGTGAGCACGCTCCAAGTGTGTGTGTCTGTGTGTGGGGGGGGGGGCGGGGGTACCCGGGGAAGGGGGGCAAGTTTGTTTCCTTTTTCAGATTGTTCGGGTCACCTTAACGGATCACGGCTTCCAGAGTCGCGCGCGCCACCCCTTTGGCCTCCCCATCTGGCCCCGGGCAGAAAGCCTTTCTGGTCTCCCGCGCTGAGAACGTGCCAACCGTTTACGCGCCTTCTTTCTCCACGCTCTTCCAAGGCAGACCCGGGGGCCTCCCAACAGCTTCCTCTCCAGCTTTCAAAGGCTGCACATTTCACAGAACTATTTGAAGTATTTATAGACAAATACAATATACCCAGGGAAGCTTCCCGCCCTGAAACAGCTCCTCCAGGCCGCCGGCCCGCACACCTTGTAATTAAGAGTGGCCAGAGGAGGAGTCCGGGAGAAGCTGAGGGTGGGGGGGGACCCCATGGCCTGGCCAGTCTCCCGTGTTTCATGTGGGAACCCCGCCTCTGAAGCACTGGCCCCACAGGTTCCTCGGCTTTGATTCACCCCGGGATTTCTGTGTCTCAGCTGCTCTTGGGGTGCCTGGCTAATCAAGTATGTGGGGTTTGGGAGGGATGACCCAGGCAGAAGCAGATCTTATGATTTATGGATGAGGGGCCTCCTGCCCTGCCCTGTAAAACAGCTTAAGTTTCATTGGATACACTTCTTACATTTTCTATGCATCCTTATAGAGCTTCCGTGAGGTGGTTTGACTACATTTATATAATAATGCTCTGTTGGTCAGATTAAATGAGATAAATCATGTAGTGTAAGTATCTGGCAGTGTAAGAGACCAGTAGAAGTTGGGATATTATTATTCTCCCTGTTATTAAATTACAACTACTTCCTCCCCTTCCCACTCCGCTATGCTTGTAAGTTACATGTCTCTCTGTCTCAAGAGCTATGGGTTTTTGGTGTGTGCCCACCATAAAGAGTGACTTGCAGTGCTGATTTATAGTTATCCGGACCTCTGCCAGAGAGATTGCTCGAAGGGCTAGCACTGGGAAAGCCCTTTAGATTTCAGGACCCCCCCCCCCCAAGACTATTAGCGGCTATCCTGGAGCATAGAGCCCAAAGCCCCAGGGTGTGGCCTCAAAGTCAAACCAGAAAACAAAATATCCAGATCAGAAAATGTCAGTAAATTTTAAACAACTTCCAGTATTAAGAAATGAGTAGAATGAGTAGAATCCTCTGCAACCTTTACCAAAATGTGCTAAGCATCATGAGTGATGAGATTAAGACCCTCCAGCAAGCAAAACAACTGAATGTGCATGTACTACAGATAGGATAATCTGTGTGTATATGTGTGTGTGTAAGACCCCTGTCATGGCAACAACGGCCCCTCAGAAAAGGGAGGGATAAAAATGAGTCCGGTGTCTCCTTACACTGATATGTGTCATCTTTTATTCCACCCATTCTAGAGAGCCACTTTCCACTCTAGCTAATCTGAAACACACAAAGTCTTGTATATAATTTCAGGTATCCTCCCTCCCTCTGCAATTAAATAACACATGATCCCTGTCACTAACTTAGCACTCTGCCCTTTGACATCTGATATGCCCTCGTTATTGTTGCATGTGCTTATTAAGATCATTAACTTACTGAAGTTTGAAACTGAATGTTAACTTTCATTCATTTCTTTCAACATGGAGTATAGTGCTTTGGTCAGAAGGGCCACTGACATCGTATGCTGAAGAATGAGTGAATTCCCTTGGAAGACAACCCTTTAGAATCAGGTGCATAAGGTCACCAGAAACAATAAACCTTGGATCTCTCCTACCCAGAACTGTGTGGCTATGGTTCATATGTCAAAAGTCTTGGTAAGATATTCCACTTTGACACTCGAAGTCACTGGTACTAGTGGAGGATGTGATGAAAAAGGAACTGCCTTCACTGTTTGTGGACGTGTCTCTGGTTCAACTCTATGGAGAAGAGTGTGGAAATTTCTCCATAAAAGTACAAATTGTGCTTTCATATAACTCAGTTTTTGGCATCTACCCCCAGTCATGGAGGTACTAATTAAAAAAGATAGGGCCAGAGCAATTCACAGAAGGTAGGGTGCTTGTCTTGCATGTGGCCAACCCAGGTTCAATCCTCAGCATCCTATATGGTCCCTCTGAGCACTTTCAGGAGTGATTCTTGAGTACTGAGTCAGATGTTACCTCTGAGCATCACCAGGTGTAGGCCCCCAAAATAAAAAAAAATCAAACAGACTTAAGAAAAATGTTTATTAAAAAAGATACATGTACACATATATGTTTATTGTAATACTTAGGACAACAGTCAAAATATGGAATCAACTCAAATGTCCAATGACACATGAATGAATTAAGAGGCTGTGGTATATATACACAATGGAATCCTATGCAGCTGTGAGAAAAGGTAGTTCTGGATCCAAGTTTTCTAGAACTTGTATGGAACGGGAGGACATCACATTTAAATGAAGTAAGTCAGAGGGAGAATGATAAGTACCAGATGACCTCACTTATCTGTGGCATGTAGGGAAATAAAACATGAGGGCTAATGGATCCAATGAAACAAACCATTGACTTTGGAATTGACAGTATCAAATGATTAAAAATAACTTTGACAGACGACCAAGTGGGGTGGGAGTGCAGGGGAATTAAGAACTGGACAAGATGGGCTGGAGCAATAGTACAGCAGGTTGGGCACTTACCTTGCCACCTGGTCAGCCCACGTTCAGTTCCCTGCAACCCATATGTCTCTCCAAGTACTGTCAGACGTAAGTCCTGAGCACTACTAGTCCTGAGCACTACTAGCACTACTATTTTCCAAACCAAAATATAAATACAAAATTAAAAAGAAGGTAAATTAGAAATAATTATGTCATGATGGAGGGTCTTTGGTAAATTGAGGTGGTGATATGTAATTATGTACATCAAGATCAAGTATTAAAATTACTATCAACATGGTACCCATACTACAATAATAAAACTAACAAAAGAGATTGTACTTTGACTTTAAAGGTTATGAAGATATTTCAAAGACTATCCATGACTCTAATGCAGTGTTTATCAAGGCAGAGTCCCTAAACCAGCAACAGTAGCAGTAGCACCTGGAAAGTTGTTTGAAAATCCACTACCCCAAAGTCTGCATTTAAAGATAGTACAGGGGTTAAGGTGTTTGTTTTGCAGGGACTCAAGTTTCATTCTATTCTCTGCACTGCATAAGGTCTCCAGAATACCTCAAAGAGTGACCCTTGAACACAGAGCCAGGAATATCCCCTGAGCATGGCCATGTGTGTGACCCCAACCCTATCCCCAACAAAACAAAAGAAGTATTTAACTCAGTGGTTTTGGTACATACCGAAGTTTCAACATTTATTCTCCTTTCAACATATCATGCATCCAGAGCTCGTCAAGAGCATCTTAAGTCTTAGTATGGATAAAATTCACTGGAAGTCTTGCAAAATACACATTCTGATTCAGCAGTAGGATCTTTTGGAAGAAGCTCCCATGGGTGATGCTCATGCTGGTGGTCTGAAGAGTGTATTTTTGAGTACTATAGCTAAACAGTAAAAGGGTTTCATCACAAGGGTCATCTGTAAAGTGACTTCCTGTCACCCTGTATGCAGAAAAGGATTCTGAGGGCAGTATTAGTCATACATATTAGTTAATAATGATTGTCATGAAAATAGATACAGACATAATTACATGTTACATATTTGCATCTTTGCTCTCCCATTTATATTATGTTTGTTGCAAGGTCATTTGGGAGGTTCTGGGATTCTCAAGTATGTAATAACATTATACATTCTTTTCTACAATCCTTTTTATATATTAAAATACCTTTTGTAGTTTATATTCCAGGATTTGGTAAAAATATGAGAATCCACCTTAATACAGTGTGATTTATTTAGCTAAAATCTAGCAATTTCTCATCCCTTTTGATCAAAGACCAAGCTTTTGGTCTCTTTCCAGTGTCTTTTTCTGCCTTCTCATCACTTTAATAATTTTATTTGCTCTTTCCGGGAACATTTATCATCTCCCTTTATATCTTTCCTATAAACCCTCATTTTCCTTATTTAAAGCACAATAATTTATTTTCATAACCAGGCAAGGAGAAGCAGCTATTTTTCCCCTTTGGGCAAAAGAGAGAATTGCAAGGTTCCCCCTTAAATATGATCATCTCAAATTACTCTTAAAAATCCTCTAATAAGAATGTCAGGTTAAAGTGAAAGAAGTAATTTCACATCATTGTTTTGCAAATACTAGTCCAGGGACTCAAAAACTGTTTTGGGAAGAGAATACCACCTC